CATAAGTTTACCTATATAACAAACCTGCAAATATCCCCCTGAACCTAAAATAAAAGTTTAAAAATATAAAAACTATAAATCAATAAGAAAAAAATCCAGTGGGATAAAACAAGTATTTTGCAAAAGAGGATAATATCCAAAGAAAAATACAAAAGTAGACTCAGTCATCAGAGAAATGCAAATTAAAATAAAGAGATATGACTACATACTCAAAATAATGGCTAACGTTAAAATGACTGCATACCAAGTGTTAGGGTGTGGAGTAGGATTAACTCTTAACAATGCTAATGAGAGCACCACCTGATAGAAACACTCTGGAAAACAGCTGGGCGATATCTGCTAACTTCGAAGATATGCATACCCTATGGCTGAACAGTTTTACTCCTGGGGTGCACACACACCCAAGCACAAATGCAGGCACCAAAACTGTCATACAAGAATGTTTATAGCAGCATTATCTATAATAGTCCCCAAATTGAAACAATCTAAATATCTACCAACAGTAAAATAGATGCATAAATGGTGAGATATTCATGCAATGTGGTCTGCATCAGTGAAAGTGAATGTTCTAGCCACACCACAGCAACAACATAAGTATATCTCTCAAACACTATGTTGAGCAAAGGAAGCCAGATATTAAAAACCTTAAAAATTTAAAAAGTGCATGCTGCGTATTTCCACATGTATAATTAAGTTGAAAAAGCAGATTAAATTAAACTGTGTTATTTAGTGATGCATGCTTGGTATAAAAACTATAAAGGAAAGCAAGGAAGTGATCACCACCAAAGACAGACTAATGGCTACTCTTGTGGGTACAAATGGGTGATGGATGGATGGTACTAAAGGACTTCCGGAGAACTGGCAGTATCATAGTTATTATCCTGGCCCATGGCTAACATGGTTCTTCTGCCAAATCATCAAGTTATACATTTCTGTTTTGTGCATTCTTCCCAAATGTGTGTTGTATTTCACAGTAAAAAGCTTTAAAATATTAGGAAGAGTGCAGTCACCTCTTAATGTGAACCTGAATGTCTGCTTTCTCCTCTGCAAGTTTTTGTACTTTTCTACCTCTTTGTCTTTTCCTTCTTTTTGAGGAGATCTGACCTCTTTCCTCAAGTAATTTTTCTCGCAACTCATATAATTGACTTTTGAAAAATCATACTGCATTTTGAGGTGAAACTTGGCAACACAAACCCAAACTTAACTCCATGTAACTTTAACTCCCCACCCACCCCCACTACCAAACACCTCCTTAAACAAAATATAACAGCATTTTACAACTACAAGGTGGTTTTACCCTAAGGCCAAAATGTGGATAATTTGATATTACACTCTAAATTCTTTATTTCTTTTGTCTAATACAGTTAAGATCCTAAGCTGTCTGGATAAATAGGGGGGTACTAACCTAAGGCAACCCAGGCCAGCTTTAGGCAGTGATTGAGTGTGGTCATCTTGGTGACCAAAGCCAGCTTCTCACATTTCTTCTTGAAAAGCATGGTGCTGACATGTTTAATATCCTATGGCATTTCTTTTGGGCTCTGTAGACTGATGGAAAAGGTCCCTGTTAATGTCTGATGGCCAAGTTGAATAGCACAGCCTTGAGACCCTCCACTTCATAGCTCCAGTTAGGGTGGTGATTTCTCACCAAGTTGTTGTAGAAATACCGCTAGTCATATCCTGGCAGGATCCACACACCACCAGTTATAGGGAGAACACTTATGTGTGCCTGGATGGTTTTGGACAAATAAAGGGGAAATGTCACCCACAACTTCATAGGGAATGATAAATCAAAATCCAGCACACTACAGAAAAGAAAAAGATAAAGCTAAGGTTTGAAGTTTTTCTGGAAGAATTCCAAAAATGCATATTTCAAGGGAATGTCTCAGGGCAACCTTAAATAGACTGGTGACCTATAGATCAAAGACACTGTATTTTATTAGCCGTCTCCTGACCCAGCCAATCTGACTGTCCTTCCCTAACTGTTACATGCATCCAGATAAACCCTCCCCTGTCTGTCTTTACTTTCTGCCTCTGAGAATCACAAATCAACCCTGACAACATTTGGTTTCTCATCTTAAGGAATGTTGCTGGTACATTCTTTATGTGAAAGAGGCAATCCCAGGAAGGGGTATGAACCAGACTGAACAGTATCTTATTTCATCTGCACAGAACAAAAGAGTGTCTTTCGTTTTCCAATGCCTGCATGAGTCTAAGGACTTGAATGAAAGCAGACTGGCTGAACTTAGTCCTAAGGATGGATACACGGTTGGCAGGGAAGAGGGGTTCTCTGGGGTCTGGGGGATAACTTTCCTTCCTCCATGATTGTTCTTATAATGGAGTCCTGTCTTGCTAAGGGGAGCAGTGACTGACAGGGTTATTTATCCTTGACTGCTTCCCCACACTGATTCCACGTTCTTTTTTTTTTTTTTTTTTTTTGAGACAGTTTCACTCCTGTTGCCCAGGCTGGAGTGCAATGGCGCGATCTTGCTCACTGCAAACGCCACCTCCCAGGTTCGAGCAATTCTCCTGCCTCGGCCTCCCAAGGACCTGGGATTACAGGCACGCACCACCATGCCCAACTAATTTTGTATTTTTAGTAGAGACGGCATTTCACCATGTTGATCCCGAGTTCTATAGGTACAGTTGGGACATAATTATTTTAAAATATTATGAGTGTTTTTCGTAAGTTTACTTTAACCTGAGAATGTTGTGAAGTATCAAAGTGGCAGGCAGCCTGAAAGATGGCCCCCAGTGATCTCTGGCTCCTGGTGTTCTCAGCCTTGTGGAATCTCCATCCCTGGAGTGCCTTGGGTCTATATAAAATATTGACAACATTGAAAGGATGTCATTTCTATGAGTAGCTTACATAAGATAGTGACTTCTATCTTGTGAACAGAAACACTTTCTGGCTGCCTTTGATAAAGCAAGCCACCATTCTGTAGAGGACCATGTGGTCAGGAACTAGGGGTGGCCTTGGGCCACCTGTCCCCATACCCCTGAAGGAAGCAAGGAACTGAGGAAGTCAGATGGCCCAGCAACCCTCAAGGAACTAAATCCTACCAACAAACACTTGAGCTTGGAGGCAAACCCAGATGGGCCTTCGGATGAGACCCTAGCCCAGGCTGACATCTTGACTGCAGCTCTGTGATAGACGCTGAAGTTAGTCCTGGCCCATCTGTGCCTGGATTTCTGTCCCTCAGAAACCATGAGATAATAAATGTGTGTGGTTTTTAAGTTGCTAACTGTATCTTAGCACTGCATTATAAAGCAGTAGGTAATTAATACAGTATATTTCACTTAATAGTCACAATTATTACAAAATATATTTCTGGATATATTTTATCATTTCAAAGATAATAGACTAACAAAATAATTAAACCGGATATGCTTTCACTGTATGTCACATTGTGTCAAAGTCAGTCATCTCCTTAGGGAATTATTTGTAAACAGATCATATAAGGGCAGGCATTAAGAAGCCTCTGTGGTCTAAAGTGTCACTCCTCTGAGACCTTCTGGAGTTCTGCATGAAGTACAGACTCTTTGCTGTGACATTCATAATGTGACTCCAAACCACCTTCCCAAGATTCCTTCCCATCACACCACTCCTGACCACCCTTTCCACACTGCAGCCTGCCCTCCCCATCTGTCTTTTCTCCTGCTGTCCTTCTGGTGCTCTCCCTGCTTTTCTCTACCTCATGTCTGCTGTGGAAAGCCCGCCTCCTCAAGACCACCCCTTCATGGGATTTCTTACAGGTCCCACATCCACCTCTAAGCCAGGTACTCTGTCTCTTCCCCCTTACACTCCAACAGCACTTTTGGCCTTGCTTAGGATATTTGCATGCTCTGCCCTTCATCCTGGTTTGCTCTCTGTCTCTTCTCTGATTCAGCCTCTTCTGATTCCCCATGTGAGACCAAAAGCTACATAAGGGCAGAAACTGTCCCTCATTCTTGGTGGCCCTTCCTACAACCTAGAACATCTCCTTCGGCATAGTGAAGAGATGGTGACACAGTGTTTGCAGAGTTGAATTTCATGAAGGGCAGGTCATGATGTGGTGCAGCATTACCCAGATGGTGTTCACAGAAGTTCTACTAACAAGAGATTCTATGGCGAAAGTAGTGTGAGAAACCAAGTGCGCTCTGTCCCTTTGCTCTGGTTTGGATAATTGTCCCCTCCAAATCTCTTGTTGAAATTTGATCCAAATGTTGGAGGTGGAACCTAATGGAAGATGTTTGGGTCATGGCAGTGGATCCCTCATAAATAGATTAATGGCCTCCCTCAGGGGTGAGTGAGTTCTCACTCTGTTGGTTCTCAAGAGAGCTGGTGTTTAGAAAGAGCCTGGTACCTCCCCCTCTCTCTTCTGCTTCCTCTCTCACCACGTGTTCTCTTCACACACAGGCTCCTCTTCACTTTCTTTTTTTCTTTTTTTTTAAACAGACGGGGTTTCCCTTTGTTGCCCAGGCTGGTCTCAAATTCCTGGGCTCAAGTAATTCACCCACCTTGGCCTCCCAAAGTGCTGGGGTTACTGGAGTGAGCCACCGTGCCTGTCCCCCTTGCTTTCCATCATGAGTAGAAGCAGCCTGAAGTCCTCACCAGATGTATATGCCAGTGCCATGCTTCCTGTACAGCCTGCAGAACTGCAGAGGCAAATAAACTCCTTTTCGTTATAAATCACGCAGCCTCAGATATTTCTTTTTTTTTTTTTTTTGAGGCGGAGTCTCGCTCTGTCGCCCAGGCTGGAGTGCAGTGGCGCGATCTCGGCTCACTGCAAGCTCCGCCTCCCGGGTTCCCGCCATTCTCCTGCCTCAGCCTCCCAAGTAGCTGGGACTACAGGCGCCCGCCCCCCCGGCTAGTTTTTTTTTTTGTATTTTTTAGTAGAGACGGGGTTTCACCGTGTTAGCCAGGATGGTCTCGATCTCCTGACCTCGTGATCCACCCGTCTCGGCCTCCCAAAGTGCTGGGATTACAGGCTTGAGCCACCGCGCCCGGCCAGGTATTTCTTTATAGCAACACTAAATGGACTAAGACACCCTCCATGAAGAGAAGAGCCGCCCTAGGCATTAGATGATTAAAGTCTCTAAGAAGCCCTGCAGTAAAGAAACAGGCATAGCTGAACATTCAGCTCTGGCTTTCTGTAATGTTGTGATTTGGGCAGAAGGTGTGGAAGCTGCCTACTTACCTCTCTACAGGATCTCTGCCCATGTAGAGCTCATCTCAGAGTGGATGCTGTGTGTTTTGTTTTGTTCTTTTCTTTCAGTAAGACTGTGAGTTTATCACACTTTATACTCATTTCCCTTGTTTAGTCGCAGGTGATTCCAGGGCGATTTCAATTGACGATGCTTTGAACAGATTCTCCTAAAAATACACAAATCCCGCTGTTAGGAGCTAAGCCACTTCTATTGCATTTAGAACCATATTTGATAACTAGTTTGACATGGTGACTCCTGTCCTCAAGGGACTTTTTGCTCAAGAGTGCAGTGACTAAAGAGTTCAAATATTAGATGCCCACTTTTTCACCAGTCTTTGCCAGGTTTAATTCTATTTAATGGGTGTTGAATAAGACTTTCCCATGTGTCAGGCACTATGCTAGATGCTTAGGGTACAAAATGTACTAATAAACTGTTCCTGCCCTAAAGAATGTCTCTTCTGACTCAGAGCATAACATATTATTTTAACATAATTCTGCGAGTGCTGAAACTCTGTTATCACCTGCACATAAGCAGGAGATGGGGAGGCACCAGTTGAAGGCGCTTAGCGGAGAGGAAAGGGAGAACCTGGGATGAAAGTTAGTTGAAAGATGCAGAAAAGTTACCCTGAGAATAAAGATAGCAGAAAGAAAATCTAATTTAACTTTTTTTTTTTTTTAAATACACTCTCTGCCAGCAACTCTTTCTGTAAGGTCCTAAGGGTTCTAAGACGAATACGGCCCACTCCCTCCCTTCCAGGACTTTAGCTGAGGTTGGTTGGAGCTGAAGTCGGGCAAGACTCATAGGAACGGATGAAGGGAGAGAGAATCCAGAGGCAACGTGAATTCCAAGTATAGGTAATATATCTAATTTTAATTTAAATAATCATGTCTTGTCTCTAAGCTTTATTGTCTTTTTTTTTTTTTTTAAGAGCTAGCATCATTCCTCTGGGTGTCTTGAGCCTGTAGACTTGATAACTGCGAATTGAGGAATTTCTTTCTGGTCCCTGGTCACCTTTTCCCTGCTGGAAACACTGTCCCTCCCTTCATTCTCTTCTTGTGCTTCACCTCCATGAAGGAGGGCATTAAAAGAAAGGAAAAGGAAAAGTGCTTGCCTCCCTGTGTGCTCATGGCAACTCTAATCCTAGGATCTGTTTTGGAGGACTTGCTGTAAAGCAATGGCAGTAGCCATGTCTGGAACCTATGTCCATGGCTGAAAAAGCCATAGGCTCTGCTGTCAGGAGACCCATGTTAGTTTTGTCTCTGCTATTCATTGATTGTGTGCACCTGGCATGTTAACTAAGGCTCTGTGTGTTTACCTAATCTTCAAGATGGGGTAAAAAGATATTCACAGGGCTGTGTGTGAATTAGTTCTTGTGCACTGAGCACACTGTCCAAAAGACTATTTCACGTGTAATTCCCTTCCTCTTTTTCTTTAAATCGTAAGGACACACTTGGTCTAAGGGTATATTTCAGCTCAGTCATGCTGCCACCAGGACCATGTAAAGCTGGATTTGTCTGTGCTAGTCTGTTTGCACGTAAGCTCTTCCCTTCTCCTCTAAAGTGTAATTGTTATACCTAGTAGTTGGGAAAATTGTGTCATTGTGTTTGTACCTAAAACAGATGACTTAGTAATTTTTTTCCACTCCTTGGATTTATCTTCTCATTTTCTCTGGGTTGCCTTGAGAAAGACAAGGAGCTGGTGTTTATATTGGCGTGAAGGATTGAGAGAGAACATAAAAATGGGTGGGACATATATATGCAGTGATGGATGGAGATGTGAACACTTTTGGCTTAAAAATCAAATTTCCTTTGCTATTATACTCAGGCCAAGGAAGCACCAATTACTTCAGGTCTTTCCTGGAGTAATTAATTCACCTATAATGCCTTCCTCTCCTCCCTTCCTGTTGTCCCTTCCCAGTAGCTTGTTTTTCTTTATTCAAAGAACATATACTGAGGGCTCTTAGGGACACACACTGTACTAGGGGCAGAGCTCCCAGGAAAAGGCAGCAGGGGCAGGAGGAAATTGTGGGGAGAGGTGCACATGCACTCACAGCCCCCATCCTTGTCTGAGTCTGACACATCTGTCCTGGGTGGCTCTTGAGCAGCTCCACAGATGCAGTAATAAGAGAAAGGGGGCAGGAAAGGGCCCTGGGCTCCAAGGATCAAAAGGGGTAACTCAGAGAGGTGGAGTGAGTGGGCACAGGTCCCACAGGATGAACTATGCAGAGAGGACTGGGGGGCAGCAGCAGAACAAGCCTGGCTGGTGGTGATGGGGACAGCCCGGGCCAATGGGGGTGACTCGTGGAAGAGTGGAGAGAAGCCAGCAGGTGCATGGCCGTCGGTGGGGCCTGCTCTCCTGACTCGTCTCCGCAGGTCTCACCCCTTTCATTTTAGCTCCAGATAATGAGTTTCCATCACTTCGTTTAGGAAGGCACCAAATGGGTCGGGCCCTGTTTTGGGACTGGGGATGCAAACACAAGCAGGACCCCGTCACTGCTCCCAGGGAGCCCGCCACGTGGTGCTGCGGTTCCTGTTCAGGGCTGCGTAGCAGAATCACCCCGGGGAGCTTTTAAAACACACACCGTCCGGAGATTCAGACTCAGCAGGACAGGGTGGGACTGCCATTTCCCTATCTGCTGGTGAACCTCGAGCTAATGAAAATAGAAAGAGAAGGATGAGGAGGTCAACACCCCTGTTTTCCAGGCACTGTGCTACGTGCTTTATATAAGAGGAAGTGAAATATAGGAACAGCGGTGTGCTTCTGCTGGCTCACACCAGCCCAGAGGGGTCAACTCTGTACCTTTCTTCTCAACTTGACATTCAGTGACATCACACTAGCACTTTGAAATGAGCCCTGGTGGGAGTATTACAGCATGGAAACTGACAAATGCTAAACACCGGGGCATTTTCCCCTCTAGAAAGCCAGTTGTTAAACATTTACCAGAACACCACTGTGTGTGTATGTATGTTTCTTATTTAGTGTAATCTTCAAAATAAGCCCAGATATGATCCATGGACTAACACCTGACAGCTTTGAAATCACTTTTAAATGTGTTGCCCTACTCTCGCAATACCCCGTGAGGTATCCTTGTCCCCGTTTTAAAGAAACATTGGCTCCAAGAGGTCACACGGCCAGGAAGGGACAGACCTGACATGAAAGGCCAAGCTTGCCTCCTATCAGCCCTCTTCCTGCTATGGCAGGCCCAGCAGGCAGATTCCTGGTTCTGAGCCAGGGTCCTGGTCACAAGGGCTGGAGGGACTAGGCCTGACCCCATTCTCAGATGTCTGATAACAGGAAGTTTTCCCCAACATTGGGAGGTTTAGCTTAATAAATGAGTTTCCTGTTCTGCTTATTTGTGTACATTGAGTATTCTCATGCTATGTTTGGGCCTACATAGGCAGGCTTCCAGAGGCCTCCAATCCAGGGGCTTGCTTTTTCCAGGGGGATGTGCTGTGCCAGGGAAATGTGCCCTTGGCTGCCATGGAAAGAAGGGAATCTAGAACTTTTTAAAACCCGCCCCTTCAAGGTCTTGGCCAAGGCCATGGGAATTTCCAAATATTTCACTTGTCCCAATTGAGGTAGCAATGAGGACGCTTTGCTAGGACGAGGCTTAGAGATTTATGTCCCCATGGAAAATCCCCAGAAGTGAGGGAAACTCATTCTAAAATGTTGAAAATAGCAGCAAACTGAACCAGCCCTTGCAGATATCACCTGCTGTGGAAACAGAGTGTCCTGAGGAAGAAGGCAAGACAAAATTTCTAATTTCCAGGGTCTCTCTCCCCATACTTTAGGTTTTGTCAGGATCTACTGGTATCTGTTGGGATAGACAACTGAATGAAAAGCTAGTCACGTCATGGAAAAATCACAGTGAAAGACCTTTTTAAGACAGAATTTTCTTTCATGGTTAAGGGTTTGGGCAGCTGGGGCTATTCCACTCACATGAATGCCCACTCTGATTACCGCACTCAGAATTCTTAGTTTGTCTCTTATACTCGGTCGCCACTACCTGGAATTTCCACAGAGGGTGTCAAAGGTGACCTCCCTTTTCTGTCTGAGGGATGGGCTCCCAGAGGGCACTAGATGGGAATAGTGGTTTGTATTGTTGAGGACCCCAGAGGTTTTAGAACGGAAGGACTCGACGCCCTGGGCTTGCTGATGGGAGGTGGATGATCCCTTACCAAGCTGTGGCCTCACACCCTCCTATGCTCCCGACCACCCCCAGTGCTTGCTTGACTCCAGTGTGAATCTTTCTTTTCTTTTGAATCCTAAACACATGTTTAGGTTTCAGACAGGCGGGATCAGCAGCAGCCCTACCAGTGTTTGTGCAGAACCCCCAGAGCTGACACTGGTGACTGTGACACGTGACCTGGCACCCCCAGGTGGGTGGGCCCCAGGTGAGTCCACCTGGGCTCCAGCCAAGGAACCTGCCTCCAGAGGTCAGAGGTTGTGATGCACGGTGCCGATGGACTCAGAATTCCAGACTCGGGACACAAGGGAAGATGGAAGGCAACTGTGTAAAACAAAGAGGCAGCAGCAGGAAGGTCCCAGCGAAAGCAGATTCACTGGCCAGAATTCCCAAAAGCCTCTCTGCAGTGTGGTTCCCAGACCAGCAGCATCAACTCACTTGGGGACTTGTTAGAAATGAATCTGCCTGTCAGTGAGAGGCCCAGGGGTTCCTGTGCTTGACGGCACTGCACTAAACAAAGCTGAGCCTTTGCCAACTCCTCTAGGTCTCTACCCACTGGCTAAGACTCCGTCAAGGGCACATAGGGCTGGAGTATTATACAGTGAGCAGAAGATATTTGCAACTTAATAGTGTTAAGGAGTAGTGTTAGAAGCGGGGGAACGAAGAATAGTGTTAAGGAGCGGGGGAACGCTGATTTTTTTTCTCTGTCTCTCTTGTATATTATATCATAAGAGATCTGGACTCAGAAGAGATTTAAGTTTCAAACCTGGCTTTGTCAGTTAATGCTTGTGGGATCTCAACCAAGTCACCGACTTCTCTGAACATGCTTCCATATTTCTACAAAGGAAACAATAAGTGACTCTGCTGAGTTGAGCACTTGCAAGTACCAAGCAGTAAGTGTTTTACACCTATTTACTCATTTAATCCTCCTGACAACCCGTGTGACACCTCTGATGTTATTACCCCCATTTGACAGGTGAGGACCTGAGGCACGGATGCTAATCAGCTTGCTGGAGATCACACTCATGAGTGGCAGAGTGGGTCTCGAAACCAGGCAGCCTGGCTCTGGAGCCCACACTCCATCCACACACCATGCTGGGACCCCATGGAGTGACCAGCAGACTGGTTGTGTGGGTTAGGTGGAACGGTGCATATAAACCACACAGCCCAGCTCCTGACCCGTGCTGGGCCCTCAGTAAGTTACTACTTTCATTATTATACATGTGTAGATGAAAGTTGGGGGGGTAATAGTGATTTTCCCTAAGATGATGGAATTTTAGGTGCCTTTGCCTTTTCTTACCTGTATATTCCTGAAATCAACGTGTTCTGCTTTTGTCACAAGAAGAGAGGAAATAATTGTCCTTTTTTTTTGAAGCGGAGTTTCGCTCTGTCACCCAGGCTGGGGTGCAGTGGCGCAATCTCGGCTCACTGCAACCTCCACCTCCCGGGTTCACGCCATTCTCCTGCCTCAGCGTCCTGAGTAGCTGGGACTACAGGTGCCCGCCACCATGCCCGGCTAATTTTTTGTATTTTTTTTTAGTAGAGACGGGGTTTCACGGTGTTAGACCCTTGATATGGTTAGGCCTTGTGTCCCCACCCAAATCTCGTCTTGAATTATAATCCCCATAATTCTCATAATCCCCACATGTCAAAGGAGAGACCAGGTGGAGGTGATTGAATCCTGGGGGTAGCTCCCCCGTGCTGTTCTTGTGATAGTGAGTTCTCACGAGATCTGATGGTTTTATACGTGTTTGTTAGTTCCTCCTGAATTCCTTCTCATTCCTGCCGCCTTCTGAAGAAGGTGCCTTGCTTCCCCTTTGCCTTCTGCCATGATTGTAATTTTCCTGAGGCCTCCCCAGCCATGCTGAACTGTGAGTCAATTAAACCTCTTCCCTTTATAAATTACCCAGTCTTAGGCAGTTCTTTATAGCAGTGTGAAAAGGGACTAATACACCCTTCCTGACTTGCTTATGTGACTTGCTCATGTGACTGGTTCATGTCCAGCACGAGGCAGGAAAGGATAGAAGCCTTTCAGAGCCTGAGCCAAGCTCCTCCTCATGGAAGCGCAGAGGACACTTCATCTCTGAAAAAGCTGCCCACACCCCACCTCCACCCAGCCTTCCAGAAGCCACCGCGAATGACCCGTAGGAGGGGCGGAGTGTGCCCCTTGCTAGCGAGCAGAACCTCTGGGGAGCGGGGATCATCTCTGTGTCTCTGCTTCAACTGCATTTAAGATGAACATTCTTAATGATAAACCTTTCCATGTGTAAAGAAGGGCGTGGAAAAATGGATGTACTGGAGACTCGGGTAATGACTTTCTAAGTGTGGAAAATTTTCCCCCAAAGTGTTTCCAAATATAGAAAACTCACATAATAAATGATGAGGGCTCATAAACCTTTCTGGCAGCAGTTGCGGGGGTCAGAACGAGGAAGAAGGAATTCCCAGCTCCCAGGGCCCCGCATCTCACACTGTCTTCTGGGCTACTGTGCAACCAATGGTTCCATATCTGTCCCTACCCAGGGGCTCCTTAGATGAATAATTGAAGTGAAATATCAAACGTATTACTGTTTTTTTTTTTTAATGTCACTGATAAAGCCCCTAAAATAGACTGCATTTCTCCCAGCTCTTCTAAACCAGGAGTGTTTGGGAAGTTGAGAATGTCACTGGTGACATTGTTCCTTTCTCTTGTGTCTCTAGAGGGTTTTGTTGTTTTAGGTTTGTTAATGGTGGTCAAACATATGCCTCAGACATTTTTAACCTCCTGGCAGCCTACTGGACTCAACACACTGAAACCAGCCCTGATTCTCTGCTGACTGCATTTACCAAGATTGAGGTCCTGTGATTGTCAGGTTGCTGCCAAAGCCAAAGCCCCGCCGCCCTACCTGCCCCTTTCCCGCGCCCCCTGCCCGCCCTGCCCGCCGCCCCACCTGCCCCGCCCCGCCCGCCCGCCCCGCCCCGCCGCCCCACCCCGCCCGCCCCGCCCCGCGCCCCCCCCGCCCGCCCCGCACCCGCCCACGCCCCGCCGCCGCCCAACCTGGGCCGCCGCCCACCCCCGCCCCGCACGCCCACCTGCCCGCCCGCCCGCCCGCCGCCCACCTGCCGCCGCTGCCGCCGCGCCGCCACGCCCGCCGCCCCTACCGCGCCGCCCGCCGCCGCCAGCCGCCGCGCGCCACCTGCCCCGCCCGCCACCGCCGCACAGCTTCCCTGCGAACCATCTTTAACTTCTTGGAAGCTGGATCTCCTCATCCTAGGTGGAGGGAAGCCATAGGGGTGGGCAGAAGATCAGGGGGTTGTGGAAACCTACATCATCTTCATGCTTCCCAAACCTTTCTTCCTTGAAGCAAAGAAGGGCCTAGCTCTGTCACAGAAAGGATACTCAAAGACATAACAGAAATGCCCAACCAAATGGAGACAATGAGTGAATGTGGTCACTGGGATCACAGCTGGCCCTAACAAAGTCTATTCTAACTATTCTAACTCTGGTGAGCCCCCAAAGAATGAGCGACCCCCTCAGAAGCTCCCAATATATCATTTCAAAAATCTTCAGAGTTCCCAGAGAAACCCTGGACCTTACACAGGTCTCCAGAACAAGGCAGGAGTTCTGGTCCTGTTCAGATAACCTTGTCAGAGCATCAGAGACACAGGCACTGTGTTGGATATGAGCATGTCCCTCTTGACCACCCTCTCCCCTCCTTTTATGAACAGAGAAAGTAGCTCTCATGTCCGGAGAGGCTACCAAGAAGCCCTGGGCACGTGTTTTGACTCAGAAAGTCCTAGAAGAGTAGAGAGAAAGGTCACCATGTTATTTTAAACCCAAACTTGATACTTGGATGTATTCATGGCCTGGCATACAAGAGTTGAGAAATAACTCCCCACTCCACTTGTCACGGCTCAAGGCCTCACCCATGTATCAGTCTGAGGTTTGGGCTCTACGTTTTGAGATAGACTGAAGTACCCAAAGAGATCCCAAGAAGACGGAAAACTATGATATAAAAAGAAAGGATGAAGATTAAGCCTACGCATTCAAAGTTCTTGTGACCCGTGGACAAAAATAAAAATAAAACCCATGCAGAAGGCTTAAATGTGTTGTGATTCCTAAGCTTGGGAAGAAAAAGCCACAGGATGATAAAATCTCTGCGTTTAAGTAAAAGAAGGAGACTGGTTATCTGAAGAGTGCTGATCTGTTTTCTATTGTCAGCTAATTCAGTGATTTTATTGCCACTCTCCCCTGAGTTTCTATCATAGGCAGTGTAGGCATTGAATCAGAGAATCTTCTAAGGAAAGACTCGGAGAGTTCAGTTCAGGGGAGTGATGCCGAGGGACAGAGTTATCTCCATGGCTCATGCAAACAAAGCTTCTCAGGTATTAGTGGTACTTTTTAAGCCTACCCAGTGACAACACATGGTGGAGAATCAGGGTTCCGTTCTAGAGAGGAAGCTTGAAAGACATGTTGGCTGAGAGAAAAGTAAGGAAATACATCATCTCCAGGTTACTTAATGATATAGTTTGGCTGTGTCCCCACTCTAATCTCATCTTGAATTCCCATGTGTTGTGAGAGGGACCCGGTGGAGGTAATTGAATCATGGGGGCAAATCTTTCCCATGCTGTTCTTGTGATAGTGAATAGGTCTCATGAGATCTGATGGTTTCATAAAAAGGAGTTTCTCTCTAAAAGCTTTCTCTCTACAAGCTTTCTCTCTTTATCTGCTGCCATCCATGTAAGAAATGACATGCTCCTCCTGGCCTTCTTCCATGATTGTGAGTCCTCTCCAGCCATGTGGCACTATAAGTCCGTTAAACCTCTTTCTTTTGTAAATTGTCCATTCTTGGGTATGTCTTTATCAGCAGCATGAAAACAGGCTAATACAGTAAATTTTTGGTACCAGTAGAGTGCAGCACTGCTGAAAAGATACCCCAAAATGTGGAAAGGACTTTGGAACTGGGCAATGGGGAGAGAGGCTGGAACAGTTTGGAGGGCTCAGAAGAAGACAGGAAAATGTGGGAAAGTTTGGAACCTCCTAGAGACTTGTTGAATGGCTTTGACCAAAATGCTGATAACGATATGACAATGAAATCCAGGCTGAGGTGGTCTCAGATGGAGAGGAAGAACTTGTTGTGAACTGGAGCAAAGGTGACTCTTGTTATGTTTTAGCAAAGCAACTGGTGGCATTTTGCCCCTGCCCTAAAGACTTGTGAAACTTTGAACTTGAGAGTATCTGGTGAAATAAATTTCTTTTTTTCCTTCTTTCTTTCTTCTTTTTTTCTTTTTTTCTTTTTTTTTTTTTTTTGAGACCAAGTCTTGCTCTGTCACCAGGCTGGAGTGCCATGGCATGATCTTGGCTCACTGCAACCTCTGGCAGAAGAAATTTCTAAGCAGCAAAGCATTCAAGAGGTGACTTGGGTGCTGTTAAAGGCATTGAGTTTTAAAAGGGAATCAGAGCATAAGTTCAGAAAATTTGCAGCCTGACAATGCGATAGAAAAGAAAATCCCATTTTCTGAGGAGAGATTCATGCTGGCTGCAGAAATTTGCATAAGTAATGAGGAACCGAATGTTAATCCCCAAGACAATGGGGAATGTCTCCAGGGCATGTCAGAGGTCTTCACAGCAGCATCTTCTATCACAGACCTGGAGGCCTAGGAGGAAAAAGTGGGTTTGTAGACTGGGCCCAGTGTCCCCGTGCTGTGTGCAGCCTAAGGACTTGGTGCCCTGCGTTCCAGCTGCTCCAGCTATGGCTGAAAGGGGCCAACATAGAGCTTGGCCCATGGCTTCAGAGACTGCAAGCCCCTGCCGTTGGCAGCTTCCATGTGGTGTTGAGCCTGCGAGTGCACAGAAATCAAGAACTGGGATTTGGGAACCTCCACCTAGATTTCAGAAGATGTATGGAAGTGCCTGGATGCTCAGGCAGAAATTTGCTGCAGGGGTGGGACCCCATGGAGAATCTCTGGTAGGGCAGTGCGGAAGGGAAATGTGGGGTCAGAGTCCCCACACAGAGTCCCTCCTGGGGTTGTAAGAGGGCCACCGTCCTCCAGCCCCCAGAATGGTAGATCCACCAATAACTTGCACCATTTGCCAGGAAAAGCTGCAGTCACTCGATGCCAGCCCGTGAAAGCAGTCAAGAGGGAGGCTGTACCCTGCAAAGTCACAGGGGTGGAGTTGCCCAAGACCATGGGAACCCACCTCTTGCATTGGCATGACCTGGATTTGAAACATGGAGTCAAAAGAGATCATTTTGAAGCTTTAAGATTTGACTGACCTGCTGGATTTCAGACCTGCACGGGTACTGTAGCCTCTTTGTTTTGGCCAATTTCTCCCATTTGGAATGGGTGTATTTACCCAATGCCTGTATCCCCATTGTATCTAGGAAGTAATTAA